GCTGGGGGCGGGGCCACGGCCATACAAGGGAGAACTCTATGGTTTCCCCTTGTATGGCCGTGGCCCCGCCCCCAGCACGCCTGGCGTCCTCCCGTCACTTCCAGGTGATGTGCGTGCAGTGCGCGCGTGCACACGCACCAGCCACCGGCCGGGAGCCCCCCCGCTCCTGGCGAAGATACACTTGGCAACCCTACCGGGGGGTGGTGGTAAAACCCGTTCCCCGCCGCTGGCGGATCGGGCCTTGGGGGGAACCCCACCCCAACATGCACGTCACCCGGAAGTGGCCCAATATGCTAATGAGTTCCTCTATGGTTTTTCCTCGGATGGTTGTGCCCCCGCCCCCAGCGTGCCCAGCGTCGTCACGTCACTTCCGGGTGACGTGCACGCACGTGCACTTCAGCCGCCAGCTGGGAGTCCCCCGCTGCAGCTCAAAAACCACTTGGCAACCCTACTGGGGATCCCCCAGAATTACAGCTCAACTCCAGACTGACAAAGACTAGTTCCCCTGGAGGAAATGGATGCTTTGGATGGTGGCTTCCATGGCTTTGTACCCCACTAATGTCCCTGTCCTCCCCAGGCTTCAACCCCCATATCTCCAGGAGTTTCCCAACCTGGGAAGGGAAAGCAGAGAAATCCAGAGGTGATTGCTGACAAGGGAGAAGGAATTGGGCGCAAACAAGGCCCCTTCCCCCTGTGTTTTCAGAGGCTAACTCAGCTTGCTGGCTACAAATCAAGCCCTGGAGGGCTCTGCCTCATCAGACTCACCCTAGGGCCCTGACATAACCATAAAATGGAAGTAACATTATCAATCAAGCCAGTGGTCCACCTAGTCCAGCATCCTGTTTCACACAGTGGGCCAGCCGTGGAGAACTGCATGACTGACTATGCCTCCTTGTAGGAAGTTCTCTGGACTAATAGAGGAAAGTGTGTGTGTTTAATTGTGAGCTACCCTGAGCCTGTTCGCGGGGAAGGCGGGATAGAAATTTTAAATAATAAATAATAAATAAAATTGGTGTGCAAGAAATTTTGTTCACAAGATGATAGTCAACCACCCAACTCACCCAACTGTAGGCTGAAGCTTTACCACTCAGTTTTCTGTTGGGTAAATGAGGCCATTTTCTTCCTTTAATACTGCTCTTTTTTCATTCACTCAGGTGACCCATGAACTCTTCTCTCAATGCCAACTGTCTCGCCAGCGACAGAAACGTTACATTCAGCTTGTGGCCCGCACTGGTCCCAATCATGTTCAAACCCTCAACCTGCGTTGGAGCACGCGACGAGGGTACCTGTTAGTGCAGACTGACAAGCCAATCTATACCCCTCGGCAGAAGGGTGAGCCCACCTCTAACTAGGGCTACTGGGTACAGACCTGGCACAGCAGGAACTTTAAGGGGCAGGGCATGGGGAGCGGGAGCATTGCGTGATGTGGTGATGTCATTCTTGCGTAAAGACCCAGAAGTGACGTCACCGTGTTGAGTAATGCTCTAGGAATTTCCCTAAGATCTATGGTAAAAGCCATAGAGTTTTGAGGGATTCCTAGAGAGTGGCTTGATACAGAGATGTCACTTCAGGGTCTTTACCTGGAAGTGATCTAAGCACTTCAAACAACATTGTTGTCCCCGTTTCCCCCTGCTGCTCCATTGAGCAAGGATGGGGAATGGGGAAGAGCATAGGTAGGGGTTTACCTTAGCAGACAAATGGCAACCCTACGTGTATCCCCCCTCTTGATCAGTTTCATGCTTTTCCGTTTCTGTTGGTTACCCTTTTCCTTGACAAGCAGTACTGAACTTCGAAAATGAAGACCTGCCGAATTTCTGACTGTTATGCTGATGTTACAGGCCAGTCTTAGTTTTAAAAAGATCGCTGAAGACATCACATCTATCCTAGGCCTAGATTTGTGACATGTCCTAGTTTTTTTTAACATTTTTCCTTGAGTGCTTACAATTGCACTGTAAAGTCAAGAGCGGTGTTACAACCTAATTTCACTGAAGTTGATGGGATGAGAAGGGTGCCACTCTATTTAGGACTGCACTGTTCCTAGTAGTTAAACACAATGAAAACATCAATAATATTATCATCCCCTCCTCCCCTTCAGCAATGCCCTGCCATTTTTGACTTATTTTTTCATATATATGCAATCTGCTCCCCTTTCATAGTTAAATATATCTAATTTTGGTCCAAAGCAAGACACACATGCTCTTCGAATAGCCCAACTAATGCATATCAGAGAAAGAGAGCAAGAGAGAGAATGCAGAGACACAATAACTGTGTTATGTGCGTATAGTCCCAAACTCCATCCTGAACAGCTCCTTTTAAAAGAATACCAGTTGGGAGTTGGGAATACCAGTTGGGGAGAATCTTGGGTTAAATGGACTCAAAATATGATTGCGCAAAAATTGATTATAGGCACAGAAAGTTATGCTGCTGTTGCCAGATGTGGGCTAGCCTAAAAAAATGTGGGGTCCTCTGGAAAGGCATTTAGGAACCTTATGAATCCAACTTTCAGGTACCATCTTTTGGGTATGTTGTAGGGCTATCTTTTGGCTACACTCCTGCAGAGTGCAGGGGGTTGGACTAGATGACCTGTAAGGTCCCTTTCAACTCTAACATGCTATGATTCTATGAACTCCAACCCATCCCTGTGCAGATTTCCTCTCAGGCTTCCCCTGGTCTCTTGCCTGCCTTTCCCTTTCTCCCTCCTCACCCTCGTATCCCCCTTTCCTTCCAGTGAACTTCCGAGTCTTCGCCTTGGACCACAAGCTGCGGCCGAGCCCCGAGCCCGTCATCATCACCGTGAAGGTAATATGAAAGTTCTCCAGCCTCTTTACAGATCTATCAAGTTAAGGTGGGGTCCCCAACATTATGCCCCCCATGGGCACCAGACTGCCTGCCAACACCTTTCTTGGCACCCACTGAGTGTTTTTGAAAACTGGACGGGTCTCCCTGCCTAGTGGGGCTGTCTTTTTTGCCACTGAAGATTTGATTGGCTGTGCATATTAAAATAACATTATTGTTTCAGCGTCAGCTGCCACCAATGCTCCCTCTAAGCTGTGGAGTCTTGTGAGCAAAAATCCTACTTTGTGGCCTACTGGCATTAAAGTTGTGAGCGAGAGATTTGGCTACAGCATAAATTAGTCTGCCTCTGGAGCCATCCTTCCTGAGCGGAGACAAAAAAATGTGTGAGCTGGAGGCTAAAAAACTGTGAGCTAGCTCACACTAACTTAGCTTAGAGGGAACACTGGCTGCCACCACAGTGTTTTTTTTCTTTCTCTCTCACTCCTCTTTCCCAGTGTGTTTTTAATTACCCCTCTTCTGCCGTGCACTTGGGCATCCTCTGTGTGTATGGCTCCACTTCCTCTGGCAGCCATTTTGTGGTTGCTCCCGCCAACGGTGCCGACAGGGCCTTAAAAACATTGGGGAAGTTAAGGAGTGAGTGGAAAATGTTACTTGTATACACTCCCCCCCAAAAAAACCCATTCACTGTTTGTCCTCCTATCTCTCTGTTGCCACCAGAACCCACGGGGTCTTCAGGTCCGGAGAGACCAGCGTGCTGCATTTAACTTTGTGATCAGTGATCACATCAGTATCCCCGATATCGCTGAGTAAGTTTCACCAGCTTTTCTGTTGTGTATTGTGAGCTTCAAGTGAACATCCATTGTTCGAGAGGATCCTTGCAGCTACGTTTGGATTGGTCGCCCTTGTTGAGCCGGCCGATCAGGCATCCGCTTACATGAGGCTATGCAAAGAAAAGTTCTGAGTGCCTATTTTCTTATTGGTGTACTTGTATTTTGTGGGCGTGTTTTAGGAGGAGGAGGAGATTGGATTTATACCCCGCCCTTCACCCGCAGTCTCAGAGCGGCTTACAAACTCCTTTCCCTTCCCCTCCCCACAACAGACACCCTGTGTTGTAGGTGGGCTGAGAGAACTCTTTCAAGAACTGCCCTTTTAAGGACAGCTCTTGTCAGAACTATGGCTTGCCCAAGGTCATCCAGCAGCTGCAAGTAGAGGAGTGGGGAATCAAACCCAGTTCTACCAGATTAGAGTCTGCTGCGGCTTGCATGCATCTGTTGTACTTACATTACTGAATGCTGAATACTGAGTGTTGTACTTACGTTACGAATGCTGAAATCACGATAGCATCTTGAACCCACTAACATTTTCAACCTGGGCTAACCCAAACCCAGTAGGCCTGGGACAGCAGGATTGGAGAGGCTCCACACACACACACACACACACACCCTCCATTTCTCACAACTGAATAGGGTCGTTGTCCCTTTCCACAATTTACTTGTATAGAACAGGGGAATGCCACAGAGAGTCCACCCTTGAAAGCATCCATTTTCTCCAGGGGAACGTATCTTTGTAGTCTGGAAATAAGATGTAATTCTGTCAGGTAGCCCTGTCATAGAGTTGGAATGTGGAGGGGGTTACCTCCTCCTCTACCCGGCTCTTCACACAGCTATCTATCTGTAGCTATGACCTTGGTGAGTATTCTGTCTGTAAATCACCAGGCATGGGAAAAGTAATAGTTTAGGTGCAAAAATTCTTTGCTTGCTTATCTTGCCGGTGCACGCGGAAACGGACCATTGGCTTTTGCAAGTGGGGGGGGGGCAGTTTGAATATGCTATAATTCAGTGGCCATCATATTCCTGGCCATTCCTAACGCAAGCTGTATACGAGTTACTTTAGTACTGGAATTACCAAATAAACACTTATCTTCTGAAGAAGCCTGAGTGTGGGGTGTTACCTACCTAAAGTTCCTGACAAATTCCAAGGGATCCCCAGGTCACACCTGGAGGCTGACATCCTTAATTCTGACCCACTGAATGGTAAACAACAATGTGGGGGCTACAAAATATGACTGCTGTCTAGGACAGGAAAATACCTTGAGCTGGCCTAGAGTGCAGCAAGTAAGGCCCTGGCGAGGAAGAGGGGCTGTTTCCATACTTTTGTCTGATAAGAATTCCTGAAATGGATGTCAGATTTGGAGGTTCTCAGGTGCTGGCTTAGAAAATGCCCATATTTCAAAGTAGCATCTCAACAACCAACTTTCTTGGTGTCATTTGAGGCTGGGCGGTTCCTTTTCTGTTCTGGAAAGGCTCCAATGGAGGGGTGTCGAACTCATTTCTTATGAGGGCCAGATCTGAGATAAATTGGACTTTGTTGGGCTGGGCCTTGTGTGTCATAAAATGTAATGCCAGGTAGCGGAGATATAAACTCTGACACACATGGCCCAGCCCAACAAAGTCCAATTTATCTCAGATCTGGCCCTCATAAGAAATGAGTTAAACACCCCTGTGTGCCTTTAAATATGAAATAATTCTGGCGAGGGCAGCTATCACCAGTAAGAATTGGGGAAATCTTTGCTGTTATTTTCTTGCAATATTCTAGGTAATGGATCAGGAACTCAGGAAGACAGCTGGAGACCTGAACCCCAAAGCATCCAATTTTTGTAAAAAATCTGGCAATCCAGTTATTATCTGGAAAGCATCGCCCATTGACCAAGGGGAGAAATCAACCCAGGCCCGCTTCTGGGTCTTGAATGGCAGTTTTTTCTATGTACGAATTGACATGTGAAGCTTTCAACGGCAGGGAACTAACAGTTGTAAGCTGTTCATGTTAGTAGGTCTGGCAGCTGCTTTTAAAGGTGCTGGAGTGGGACCTTGTTGATAAGTTAGGATTGCCAACCTCCAGATGAGGCCTGGAGATCTTCCAGGAGATTTGGGTGGTTGGGCCTGGAGAGAGTGGGGTTTGGGGAGGGGAGGGACCTCAGCCAGGTATAATACCAGAGCATCAGTTTTCTCTGAGGGTAATGATCTCTGCAGTCTCTAGATCAATCGTAATTCGGGGCCATCTTCATTCGTCCTCCTGCTCCTCCCCCTTGGAGTTTGGCAGCCCTAACAATGCACCAGCTCAGGTTTCACCCAGTGGCAGTGTGGTGTAGTGGTTAAGAGCGGTGGACTTTAATCCGCAGAGCTGGGTTTGGTTCTTGACTCCTCCTCCACATGAAGCCAGCTGGGTGACCTTGGGTCAGTCACAGTTCCCTCAGAGCTCTCGCAGCCCCACCTGCTTCACGGGATGTCTGTTGTGGAGATAGGAAGGGAAGGAGATTGTAAGACGTTTTGAGATTTCTTCTGGTAGAGAAAAGTGGGGTATAAAAACCAACTCCCCCTCCTCCTCCTCCTCACCCTGCTCCCTTGTCATTCTCCTTTCCAGGCCTGGCATTTGGAGTATCACAGCCCAGTTTGCCAACGCTTTGGAGTCCAACACCACCACAGAGTTTGAGGTGAAAAAATATGGTACGTCAGGGGATGGGGTGCATTTTTCATCTTGCAGAAGCTGAGTGCTTCTAACAGGCAAAAACTGAACAAGTCATGCACAATATTTGTCTCCTGGAGACTACTAATATCATACCTGTTTCCTGTTGTGATGTTAAATTCGCGTCTTCTCGCGGACTACTGTTTTCACACTGTCCCCACTTTACAACATCCTGGGATTTCTCTCTAAGTGTATGATTTCCTTCCTACATAAATAACATGTGGAGCTCACTGCCACTGGATGTAGTGGTGACTGTTCACGTAACTGGCTTTAAAAGGGGGATTAGACACATTCATGGACTATAGGATAGACCTATGGTGATTCTTTGGTAAGCTGACCAAATGGAACCTCCATGTTCATAGGAAGTGTATGTCTCTGTCTGACTACCAGTAGTGGGGAAGGGGAGGTCTAGGTCACAATGCCTTGACTCGACACCTTCTTGGGGCATTTGCTTGGTCATTGTGTATAACACAATGTACTTTTGTGTAAAAGAAACAGAGAGAATCAGCTTTTCAGTTTCCACAGCTTTTGACCCCATAGGAAAACCAGCGATGCAATCTTATGCAGAGGTATTCCAGTCCTAACCCATTTTATTTCACTATTTTCAGACTGGAGTAACTGCATAGGATGGCACAGAAAATATGGAACGTTTAAGTGCAGAGAGCCGGCGAGAAAGGGCCCCCCACCAAGGCCCCGCCACCTCCCCCCGCGGCCCACCCCTCCATCAAGCCGCTGCCACCCCCACCCGCACCAGCAAGGCCCCGGGTGCCCTAAGCAGGCAGGCTGGGGAAACTTACCTTGCTTCTTTTTGCTCCAGCGGCCGACTGAGGGCTGCTGGGAGCAGGGGGCATGGCCATGCCAGATCGCAGCCGGAACCCCATTCCAGTGCGTTCCGCCTCAGAAATAGCCCTGGTGTTTTTTACACATAATCTGCCAAGGGGAACAGCCGTATCCAGGTGAACAGCTCAATCAAGGCCACCTCTGATTAAAAGGCTCTCGAGGCCAAACTAGGTGTCACATGCCATTTGCGCGGAATGGTGGTCCCTCTTTATTTTATCCAAATGGCAAAGGCAACGCAGAGCACAAATCTGAACAGAAAACAGGGTAGAGGCAGCCTGGCCTTTCCTTCTTTCGGCTCAGGATTGCACCCTCAGTTGTGCTTTAATAGTGGGAGATCTCCAGCTACCGCCTGGAAGTTGTCAACCCTACTTCCCAAGCCCCACCCTCCCCAGGCTCCACCCCCACATCTCCAGGAATCTCCGAACCCAGAACTGGCAACCCTTTTGGAGGGAAAGTGACTCAGGCCTCCCACAGCTGCAGCAGCCAATGGCACAGGAAGGGCGAAAATGGTGTCCACACTCCACCGTCGCACATTGCTTGCTGCCACTAAATATCTAGGGTTGACAATGCCAGTTTAGGAAATTTCTGGAGATTTGGGGGAAGTCCCTGGGAAGGGTGGGGTTTGGGGAGGGGAGGGAGCTCAGCAGGGGTGTGATGCCTTAGAAACCACCCTCCAAAGCTGCCACTTTCTCCAGAGGTCAGTTGTTACATAAGAACATAAGAGATGCCAATGCTGTATCAGGCCAATGGCCCATCCAGTCCAACACTCTGTGTCACACAGTGGCCAGAAATACCAGGTGCCCTCAGGAGGTCCACCAGCAGAGCCAGAACTCCAGGAGCCCTTCCACTGTTGCCCAACAAGCACCAAGAATACAGAGCACCACTTGCCCCAGACAGAGTGTTCAACATCTAGACCTTCTGGCTCGTAGAATGACTTCCTTTTATCTGTTCTAAGCCTAATGCTCCTTAATTTAATTGAGTGCCCACAAGTTCTCGTATTGTGAGAAGTTCCAGGAAAACTCCAGGCCCTAACTGTAGGCTGGTAAGTAGGGACAGTTCCGGATGTTGGGGGCTCCTGGGCAGAAAGTGCATCCGTTCCGGGCACATCCTTCCCCCACCCCCTCACAAGCCCACCGCCCTTCCAGATGCCTGCACCACCCGCACCACATGCCTGTTCTCTGCCTCGGGCTGCCAACCTCCAGACTGTACCTGGAGATCTTCTGGAATTACAACTGACCTCCAGGTGACAGAGATCAGTTCCCCTAGGGGGGAAACTGGCTGTTTTGGAGGGTGGCCTCTATGGCATTATACTCTGCTGAGGTCCCTCCCCTCCCCAAACCCCGCCCTCCCCAAGCTCCACCCCCAAATCTACAGGTACTTCCCAATCCACTGTTGGCAGCCCTATCTCTGCTGATGCTGGGTGGTGCCTATGGCTGGGAACACTCGTAGGATTGCCAGTTCCCCCCCTCTGTCCATCAGTGGGAAATGGTTCATACATCTGAGCTGAACAGAGCTGCTGTCAGTTCTAGCCCCGTGCTGGTGTGAGCTACCAGCCTTGTCCCCAGCTCGCCGTCCACCCAGCGGTTCGAAAGCTTCAGCGAGTAGATAAAATGGGTACCACTCCTTAGAGAGGGTGGGCACACTAACCCCCCAGTGGGGGAGGTGTTAGCCGGCAAAACGGAATGTCCAGCGCGTAAGACCGAAAGCCTAGAAAGAACTCTTCGGCATTAAAGAAGCCTGTAATGGGCTGTCCGGCCAGGCGGTGGCAGTGCTGCGCTGCAACTAGAAGCAGTCCTGGAGAAAGCTGACGACATCAAGCCACGCCGAGGGGAAAATGCCGTTGGAACACGTCTGACCTTACAGCTGAACAAACTCCCTGTCGGTTGGGAACGTGTGTGGTTTAAAAAGATTATATGTTGTCCTCCCTTACCCCTTGAATCATTGTTAGTCCCATGTGTATTTGAGTAACTGTAATTCAGCGGGTTGCAAAGCCATAGAGTCCCCCCTCCAAAGCAGCCATTTTCTCCAGGAGAACTGGTTTCTGTAGCTTGGAGATGAGCTGCAATTCCAGGGGGTCCCCAGGTCTCACCTGGAGGCTGGCATCCCTAGGAAGCATGGATGGCAGAGTGCTTCCGAGCAAGCAGGTGGGGAAAGCATGGGTGGGCAGCAGGGCAGGTGCCTGGTCAATAGCAGTAGGCCCCACTGGATGCCTGGGCCCTTCCCGCTTTCCTGCCTCAGACTATGCTGATGCCGGCCCTGCTGGTAATCCTGGCTGATACATGGGCAAGACTCTGCCCCCATCTCTTAACAGGAGCCACTTTCCTAAGTAGAACATTGAATCTAGACCAGGAACTTGAGAGCTGATCTCAAAACGCACAGAGTGTTCCTACGGGGGATATGAGGGAAAGCTACACCAATTAAATTCCTCCCTATTTTCTGTCTCTCATCAGTGCTTCCTAATTTCGAGGTGACGATTGTTCCAGAACGGAAATACATCCTCCTCTCCGGAGAGCGGGACTTCGAGTTGCAAATTGATATTCAGGCTAAGTACGAGTCACCGGGAGATACCGCTTCACATTTCTATACGCCACTTTTTCGGCTTTAAAGTTTTCAAAGGAGTTTACGATTGGGAAGAAAACGGTTTATGGCACAAGCCGTATAAATTAAACGTGGGCAATTAATCTGGGTTTGTGCCCCTACCACTTTGGAGTGCCCTGCCCAAAATGATGAGGTTTGCGCCCAGGTGATAGTTGCCACCATCAGGGTCCAAAAACTGGTGGATTTTTGGGAGGGGGCATCAGGATTCTCTGCAGATAGATAGCCAGACAGATTTTCCACAAGCAGCTGCACCGCCCTCACTCTTCCCTTTCCCTCGATTGTATTCGTCAATTTCCCACTGTTTGCTGCGCGGCCGCATTTTGACCCGCATCTCCCCCCGATTTCCCGCACGTCTTCTTGATCCTAAAAAATAAGGATCAAGAAGACATGCGGGAAATCGGGGGGAGATGCAGGTCAAAATGTGGCCGTGGAGCAAACAGTGGGAAATTGAGCAGTACAACCGGGGAAAACGGGAGACCGAGGGTGGAACAACTGCATTTGTGGAATCGGTCAAAGAGTCTCTGTAACTTATGCCCATTAGCCGCTGAGCTGCCATATCAGTAACCCTGGCCAACCAACCATTCAGTTCTTCCTGGCCTTCTCCCTCAACAGGTTTTTCTACGGGAAGGGGGTCACCGGGACAGCTTATGTGCGATTCGGAATAAGCAACGATGGTGGAGCAAAAACTTACATCCCAGGACTGGAGAAACGAGTCCCGGTAAGAGAAAACAGATATATCTTCAACACCACCTCCGTCCACAACTTCCCTTAGCAGAAAACTTCGGCTGCTTCAGCCTTCCTCAGTTCCTCTCTGACTCTTATGAGGAGTCTTTCAGTGCCTGAAATGAACATGCTGGAGTCCAGATCAACGGGGAAGTTGTATACTCTGCCTGGATACTATTTCCAGCTGTGTGGGTCACTCACCAGATGTGGTTATTCAAGGTTTCTGTAAATCCTCAGTTCACAATCTCCACATGTCCCAGGATGGATCAAGATCTGAACCCTGGCTTAACTCCTAAAACCCTGGCCAGAACTAATTTTTAACAACGTTTATCTTTTGAAGTATTTATTTTATGTCTTTATTTACGAGATTTATGTCCCACCTTCCAGCCCAGTTGAGGCCTCCAAGATGGCCCAAACCAGAGCGATATTTTTAAAAACACATCATAAAAAGCGTCGAGCGAATGCCAGAGGAAACAAAAAGTCTTTTCATCTCTGGTGGAAGACAGTGATAGCAAGGGATAAATGAATCTCCCCGGGGAGCAAGTTTCACAGTCCTGGCACCATGAGCGAGAACACCCTCTCCTGGGATGCTAGTATCCCTCTAGTTCAGGTGGTGGAAGCACCCGAAGCATGTCTTCAGAAGATGACCTTAATGGGTTGGATGAAGACTTTATTGGTTTTGTGTCAGGTCCTGGCTTCTCCGGGCGGTCGCCTGAGGAGCTGGGGTCTCCAGGACGTGATTTTTGTAGCCGGTAGCAACAGAAGGACAGGACTCAGATGTATCTGGAGGAGGGGGGTTAGTTTCACCCATATTCCTCTCTCTCCAGCTCACATGCTCTGAGGGGGTGGGAGAGCCCGGTTCCCTCTGGGCATTCTGCTTCCCCTTTGAGAGGCGCGCACTCTTGCTCCCTGGCCTGCCCAAGCCGTCTGGCTTAAATCAGCCTCCCAATCCGTCCCCTTCCCCTCTCCCACCAATCCCCATCTTCCTTCAGAGGAGCAGGTGAGGGGGTTTTCAGCTGTCTATCCTGAGTGTGGCTCCTCCCCATTTCTCTTCTCTTAACCTTGGGTTGGATAGCCGCTTCGCCCAGCCCCGCCTCCTTTGTGGGCTTGGCTCCGGCCTCGTCCCCGACTGGGTCCTGGTGCTAGCTCTCCAGGATGCCTCACAGCTCGGTTAGGGGCGGGTCCCATCTTCTCTCCTCTTTCTGTCGGGGCTGCTGGACCCTTGTCACCCGTGCCTCCCAGAGCACCTGGGATTGCAGCCTGAGGGCCGGCGGAGTCCAGGGTATCGGACCCCAGACATTTTGTTTTACATAACCTCAATCATTGTTATGGGTCCTCCTCTCTGGTTTTGGCGTTCGTGTATTTATCTGTTTTATTGAATTATTTTATATTATTTTAAAGGCTGTTTCACTGGTCAAGTGTTTTAATATTCTGATGTTCACCGCCTTGGGGACCCAATTTGGGTGGAAAGGTAGCACAGATGTGTTTTAAATAAATAATATGAGGACAGGCAGTCTTTAAGTTATGCCGGACCTAAACCATATAGTGCTTTAAAGATTTGGGCCTGGAAACAAATTGAGCCAAAATGGAGTCATGTGATTCGTATAGTAAGCAAGGATTCTTGTAGTAAAAAACATGAAGAGAGGCTTTAAAGAGCTCTCCCACAGGCACCTCAGCTACCCGCTCCTCTTATTGTTAGGTTCACACACTGTAGTGAACAACCACTGAGGTTTTATGAAGAGAGAATTGTGACAGAGCCTTTGGGTGTACCTGGGGTAGCCCAGGCTAGTCCAATTCCATCAGATCCTGGAAGCTAAGCAGGGCCGGCCCTGGCCAGTATTTGGATGAGTGACCTTCAATGAATACCAGGGGCGTGACACAGAGGCAGGAAATGGCAAACCACCTCTGAAACGTCTCTTGCCTTAAAAACAAATCTGGCTCGCCACCTAGTGGTACATAATGCTGAAAGAGCTAGAACTTCTGACTGCCAGACAATTTTAGGATCTCTTGGCTAGACTGTACGTAGTGCCATACAATAATAACAGTAATAATAGCGGGCCTAGCCACTGCTTACTTTTTCCTGGGGGTATCCCTGGGATGGGTGGACAGGCATGTCCTGAAGTTCCGTACTCCCCAGGTGCACGCCCATCAGATTGGGATCACAGTGTGTGGAGAGAGGGAGACCTTCCCCGTGCTGTTTTCCTGATCTGAGATAGCCCTCAGTAGAATAAAACAGGGCCTCCCAAGGTCCATTTCCATTTTGGAAAACAGCGCAGGGGAAGGTCAAAGCCCTCTCCCTCTGTGGTCCCTATGCACTTGGAAAGGGTGGAACCTCAGAACACACCTCTCCACCTCATATGGAAAATGTTATGTGGTGAATCCAACCAGGGTTCTTTTTGTAGAAAAAGCCCAGCAGGAACTCATTAGCATAATAGGCCACACCCCTGACAGCACCGCTCATTAGCATATTAGGCCACACCCCTGACAGCACCGCTCATTAGCCCATTAGGCCACGCCCACACGTTACCAGAAGTGTGGTTATCCAGCCACACCCACCTTTTGCTTGTTATTCTGTTTACCTTGTTTGTTGTCAAAACCCAGGGCTTTTTTTGTAGCAGGAACTCCTTTGCATGTTAGGCCACACACCCCTAATGTAGCCAATCCTAATGAGTTTATGCTGTTAGGTGTGGCCTGTTATGCTAATGAGTTCCTGCTGGGCGTGGCCAACTCGGGAGCCAGCCGGAACTCCGTTCCTGTGCGTTCCTGCCCCAAAATAGCCCTGAATCCAACTAACTTCCAAGGGGCCCTTCTTCCAGCCTAGGGAGCCCATCCTCCAGCTCTTCTCTTACAGAAGAGCCAGTTTATGAGGACCAACTGGGAAAAATAAACTCCCCAATGAAAACCACTATTCTATAACTTTTACATGCTTGGTTATACTTTTTGTAATGTTTTTAATGCAAATTTCTTGTTCTAAACAACATCCATCCTACTATCTTTGCTTATACTTATGGAATGTATCTCTCCCTTATTATAAAAAGAGTTTTGGGTGCCAGAATTCTAAAATTGGCCCCTTTAGTGTTAGGCCGAAAAAACTGCCACTCGGAAGACACTGGCTGGGTTCATTGGCTGCTTTGTGCAGTCCCGGCCAGCGTTCCAAGGTCATTTACATATGGAAGCTGATTGGACTACACTCCATTCCACACCTCAAACTCACCCCCCCGCAAGGCAGTTGGAATTTTCAGTTGGGAGAGGAGAATGATGTCAGCTGCTCCCTAGGCAGAGGCTGTGTGTGTGGGGGGGGGTTGTAAAGACAGACAGGCAGATAAACGTTGGCTGATGGTTGCCAACTCCAGGTTCGAACTCCAGGACATAGGGTTGCCAACTCCAGGTTGGAAACTTCCAGGATATTTTAGGGATGAAGCCTGCTGAGGGTGGGATCTGAGGAGGAGGAGGAAGAGGGGGACCTCAGACAGATACAATGCCATGCTGCCCACACTCCAGACAAGCTGTTGCCAGTCTCCAGGTGACAGCTGGAGAGATCTTAAAGCTTTGGTGCTACTTCAAAGTTCCCCAGGAGCCCAAAACAGAGTAGTGTTTTGGAAAATCTTGAGGAATTGTTTGGTGCATTTACGATGGGGCTCCTGGGGAACTATTGTTGCCAATCTTGGCCCAGCAGCCATCAAACCATTCTCTTCAACCCCCTGCTGTGCAGCTGACTTCCCCCTAGGGTTGCCAATCTCCAGGTGGGACCTGGAGATCTCCCACTGCTACAATTGATCTCCAGATGACAGAGATCAGTTCCCCTAGAGAAAATGACTGCTTTAGGAGGGTAG